GCTTACAGAAGTGCAAGTTCAAGATTCCATATGTCTTCTATTTAAGCACGGCTTGCATGTAGATTTATTACGTACAAAGAAACGGGCAAGTGATCTTCAATTTTGTCTCCAATCCTGATTTTGTTGAGATGTTCATCCACAATCCGAATCAGTACCGATATGAAAGAAAGACGGATAATGCACCATGGATTAAGATTGCACCCTAGATAGTATTTTTTTAATGGTTAACAGGTAAAATAACATCATATTCAGATTCTATATATTTTTCTAATCAAATTCCATACATAACATGTTAAATTTGGAGTTAATTACGGTTTATAAGATATGCGTATTTAAAAAAATTGAGTTAATTACGGTATATAAGATATGAGTATTTAAAAAAAATTGATCTGTATTGTTGGTTTCACGTCAGAAACGTCAGAGGGTTTTCTATAAAATAGCATGACGGACTAAGAATACCTTCTTCCTTTATTAGTAGGTATAGATATAGATATAGATAATTAGAAAAGCATGGAAAAAATAATGTAAGATGATTTCCATGGTGTTAACATTAACAAAAAGATAATACCAAATATAAGATACATATTGTGTCACCCACTTGTTAATTAGTTGTCCTTCTTATTTGACCACAATCATAATTGTCTTTTCCATCAGGATCGACGCTATGGATGCTGCTTAGATGTACAATCAGAGAACAAAATAAGTCATAATGTATTATGACTTATTATTTTGTTTATTATTTTTCTCCCCCGCAAAGAAAAGTCATAATGTATTATGTAGTTGGGATGTTGTGCCACTTGCGTGGACAGCATCTGCAGCAACATAAATGGCATGGTTTGTTGGGTGGGTGACGCGTACCTTTTCCTGCTAAGCAATTCTCGGACTAGGATAATGAGCTTCTCGACATCCAAATTTTCTGCATTAAAACTACTATGTCTTCTCTTGTCAAGCTTAAAGAGAAGGTTGCTCAATACTTTCTTCATGTCCGGATTCCGAGACACAGACACAAAAGCTTTGTGATCAAATTTTACTGGAACGGCATCATATACTTCTCTGGCAAGTGTAGTCTTGCCCAATCCTCCAAATCCAACAATGGAGAGTGTCTTGAGTTGCTTACGGTCCCCATCAGTGATCTTCTTGATAATGTCGTCCCTTGCTTTCTCTAGGCCGATGATATTCTTCTTATCTCCGTAAAGAGCTTCCAAGAGAGGGTCAACGGTGGTCCTTGTGGCTGCAGCAGGTAGATTAGTAAGATTATACCTTTGATGTCGTTCGGCCACATCTTGCAACCGCTTATGGATCTCTTCGACTGCAGTGGAAATCTCACGGTTGGCCTTGCCCTTTTTAAAGACCTTTAACATCTTGTCCATGAGCTTCTTGAAGTTGGACTGATCAGCAGTGGGGTCACTGCCCTCAACACGCACCAGGAGAGAGTCAACGACATCCTCCATGTCGTAAGACAGCTCCCTAACATCAGCAGCCCAAAGCTTGAGCTGCTCATCGAGCTGATCCCGCGGAACCTCTGCCACCTTGCCAAGGGCAGCCTGCATAATATCCAGCTCGTCGGAGAAGGACTTGACCTTTTTCTTGACTCCCTTCTGTAGCTTGTACTCCTTCTTGATAACCTTGCCCAGTTTGCCAAGGAGGGAGCCCATGGCCCCCACGGCCTGATCCATGGCTCACTCAATCTTCTCTTGTTGATGGTCACCGGGCATGAGGTTAGAATAGATCTGAATTAAGAAAAAAAAAACCAATGTTTCAGCAAGAGACTACAAGGGGAATAGAGAGATACCACAAAGGGATTCATGAAGCTAATGAGCAGTGAGGGGGCCTGACCTCGATCCAAAGACAACAGCGATGCAGAACGTGCTTCCGAAGGTGGCAGCGGAGGGGAAGGAGGGCCTCGGCAGGATCAATCAATCTTGCTCTCTTGCTTCTATCTGCACACAAGCTCTCTTGGTTCATTGGTCAGGAATGTTCCTGTGTGCCTAGTGGTTGCTGCTGTGTGGCTCTAGGGTCTCCTTCATATATATTGGGCAGAGGGGAGAGGGGATGGGTAGAAAGAGGACACGTATGTTGATATGCTTTATTCCGTTATATGACGTCCCTAAGTCTAGCCACTATATATGTGTGCGTACAAAATCCATGGTGGGTTCACCATGCATATCTCCTTGTTACCTGTTTTGTTCTCTTTTCTCATTCTTGTGTTTCAGTATCCCCGTGGCCAAGTCACGTTGTGTCTAGCCAAACGCTGATGGATACTGTCACACAGAGTGGGCCCTAAGAATATCTCTCCATCGTCGGAGGAGCAAATCCAAACTCGAGTATTTAGTCCCTTGGCATATGTTTCGGCGAACCTGTGAGTTGTTACGGTTGATGTTAGAACAAGAAGTGACTCAACACTTCCATGGTTTTAAGGGATTATGGATATGTTAACTTTCTCTATGCTATGGACTATATAGACTTGCGATGAAATCGTCTCCTAGTATAACATAAAACTAGGGTCAATTCAACACCAGTGTTCTTCTAACAACGTGCCATCAATGTTTTCGGCATGGTTGTTACACTTAGCTCGTGCCCATGATCAGGAAAACATAAACATAATGCAAAACATGAGCTAGTCCTAGAGGCAAGACCAGGAATCAATTATACTATTTATTATTCTGCACGTGCACATGAGTTTTTCTCTTAGCCTCGTGAATTTTGCAGACTTGGGAACCATAGCAGTTATAGGCTAGAATATAACATTAATCATAAACTTTGAAATTAAAAATAATTTTATTATTCCCACCAAGGTTTATTTCCAACAGTCTCCCACCTAGAGTAGAGTCAATAATCTAATTTACATAACTTCTTTTCGACCAATGACAATCTGGTGTTGTTTATGTTTTGCAAGTGGTAGAGGCTTCTTCATTGGGTCTGACACATTCAAATCCATGTGAATCTTGAGTACTTTCATAAAACCCTTATATGCATGATCTCGGATAGTGTGATACTTGCGTTCAATATGTCTGGACTTGCGGTGTCACCTTGACTCATTTTCCTGAGCCGCGGTGGCGCTATTATCGCAATAAAGCTCGATTGGGTTCAATGTGTTTGGAACCACACCTCATTCTTCAAGAAACTTCTTCATCCAAACCATCTCTTGCGAAGCTTCTAAAGTTGTGATATATTTCGTCTCCGTTGTAGAATCTGCAATAGTGTTCTTAGAACTGTTCCAACACACTGCACAACCTTTGAGTGTGAAAACTTAGCCTGATTGAGAGTTGTGCTCATCTATATCAGTCATGAAGCTAGCAGTAGTGTAACCATTTACATTGATCTCTTCATCACCTCCATAGATAAGAGAAAATACTTAGTCTGTTTGAGTACTTTAGGAATATCTTTAACTGCTGCCCAGTGAGCCATTCCTGGATCACATTGGTAACTACTACGAACAGTTAGCGCATAAGAAACATCTGGTCTATATAGAGCATGACATACATGATGGTACTAATTGCCAAGGCATATGAAACATCACTCGTTCGCACTCGCTCATCAGCTATCCATGTACAATGATTCTTGCTAAGTGTTTTATCATGTGACATGGGAAATAATCCCTTCTTAGTGTTCTTCATTTTAAACCTCTTTAAAACTTTGTCCACGTATGTGCTCTGACTAAGCGTTATTAGGCGTCTTGATCTATCTCTATATATTTAATTTTCTAATATATACACCGCTTCCCCTAAGTATTTTATTGAAAAACTCTTTTTCAGTAACACTTTAATTGTATTAAGAAATTTCACATCATTGCCAATCAACAATATGTCATCCACATGTAAGATTAAAATGCTTTTGCACAACCACTAAATTTTTTGTAGACACGAGATTCTTAGTCATTCCTGATAAAACCAAATATTTTGACAACTTGATCAAAGCATATATTCCAGCTCCTTGATGCTTGCTTCAAACCATGAATGACAATTTGAAGCTTTCACACCTTACCGACATCCTTAGAATTGACCAAACCATTTAGGAAAGCTATTTTGGCATTCATCTGTCATATCTCGTAACCAAAATAAGCTGCAATTTTCATCATAATCCACCTAGACATAAGCATTGCTACAGGCGAGAAAGTCTCAATGTAATTTCTTTAAAAAAAATTATATGTATACGGGTTCCTTTAAGAAAAAATGTTTTAAATATAGAATTGATGGAATTATTTCATCAAGTGCTAATTTGCGATATCAATGATTATAATTCTACATGTCGAAGACCAGCGACTATGAAAGTGATAGTGTTGGCATTGTGCGAGGTGGTCCTATCATCACACGCAACACTCCAATTGAGATCTAGCGGAGGAGGAATTGTCTATATTTGCGGCCCATGTTGTACGCGGTTCGTCGTCTATAGTGCACTAGGCCTTGGTGGTCAAATAGGCGTCCCAATCTCATCCCACCCCCGGCGGGCAGTCATCACCGGCAAGTGGCTCCTTGCCATCGTGCGGATTGGCGGGTCAAGGTTCTCTTGTCCAGCTGCGGCTGGCGAGGACACAGACACCTGCCTATGTATGTAAAGACGAATATACTTTTTTGCTTCTAGGGGAGTAAAGACGAATATACTTGATGGTCATAGGTTATTTGAACCTTGCAAAGGTTTGTCAAATTTATGAAGAAAAATATCTACACTTATAATAGCAAAGGCACGTCATTAGATTTCATATGATATATGTTTAATGTTGTAGATATAGATCAATTTGTCTATAAATTTGTGTTAAAGTTTTTTCTATAAATTTGTTCCAAATTGACTAAGTTTGATGTAAAATAAATATATATGCTTTACGTTAGGAAAGCCAGTAGTACTAAGCAATCATTCCATTTATTCACTATGTTGCCATTTAAGAGCTCATATAAGATTCTACATCCATTTTATTTTTTCATGACAAACAACTAATTAAATGAAAAAGTAGCTTCAGCAAACTAAGCATCTATATATACACTGAGATGCTTAGTTCCACTTTGAGGAGTACTATGCACTTGCTCTAGCCACAGTGCATACTCAATGTGGCCTGAAATAAAAACGGAACTGGGTATCCGGACAAATTGCCTACTCTATTCAGTCAACATCGATGCGTAGAGCAAGTTCTATTGACTGACTGCAAGTATAACAATATACGAGTCATGATGTAACCACTACTGGAGGTGGTTGTACCGTGCAAATGTGTAGATAGATCATGACAGGACACCTACCGACAGCTTGTGGCTCAATAATTCATACAAGTTGCAGAATTATTTTATGTCGACATGTATGCATGGGATTGCTTGCTGAGATAGATATGCTACATGTAGAATGGCGGTATGGATGCGCAATTTTGTCACGTCTCCGCCTCCGTCAGGTTACTGGCATCGATGGACAACCTCCTACAGATGGGCCTGGGTGTTCCTTAACCAGCTGGGTGGTTGCAATGTTTATGACGTGTGGGCCGGGTGCACTGTGTGGGTGCCGTGAGTGCATGTGTGCCTATATACAGCGGCAGTTCCCTGTATTGAACTATGTTGATTAATGAATAGTATCTGAATCTCATCTCTCCCGTGTTCCTCTCCTCCTCCTCCTCTGGTTCCCCTTTTCTCCTCCCTATTCTTCCTGATCCTCTCTCAAATCCTGTTGTTGATCTATGAGACTAGTCTAGGGCCTCAAAAATTTCCACCCAGAAAAAGAAACCGCTAGCTGTGTACCCTTACCCTAATCTAATAAAGCTCCCTTTCCTCACAAAAAAGGGCAATGGGACAGCTACCTGTGTATACTGTAGGCCGTCATAATCTTGTTGTTCTAAACCACACTTTTTTTTAGCAAAACTCTAAGCCACACTTCATTCGTTCAGTAGTCATACATAGCAAATCTAGCCAAACCAAGATTCCTGGCCCGTTTTGGGAACCTTGGTTCTAGGTCGCTTGTTCAGATTTTTCTATTTTTTCTTTCCAGTTTTTTTTGGGTTTTCTTTATTTCCCCCTTTCTGAAATTTCTTCAAAACTGGTTTGAACAATTTCAAAAAATTCAACAATTTGGATTTTCAAAATAGTTAAAAATTAAGGAAAAAGTTCACAAAATTGTAAAATATTGAGGTTTTATAAAATGTTAACCGTTTCGAACAAATGTTCAAAATTGTTAAGAAATGATTGAGTTTACAAAACAGTGTCCGTAAATCTGAAACAATATTCAAAATTTTTAAAACATATCAAGGTTTTAAAAAACATAGTTGCAAATTTGAAAAGATGCTCATGTTTACAAAATAGTTAACAAAATTTAACAAATATGTTCATTTTCAAAAAGTGTCCACACTATTAAAATTGTTAAGAAAGTAGCAAAAATGTTTGCATTTTCAAAAAATGTTCCAATTTTGAAAATTATATGGTTTTTAGTTTTTTTTTCAAAATATCTTCATCCTATACAAAAAATGTTCACGTTCCCAATAAATGTTTGCAACGCTGAAACAATGACCATACTTATTAAAAAAAATTGGCTATAGTGCAACAATGGCCCGGTCGGTCAGGGCGCACGCCGCTCCCCTGTGCGGGATCCCGACAATTAGACGCACATCAGTTACTCTAGGACCTCGAAATCACTAATTACGGGATACAACTTGCAAAGGTCACTACTAGCTTCTCTGGTGCCGACAAGTGGTGCACCGCATATGAGC